TCTCCAAAATGAACATGTTCATTTTCCAGATTAAAATGAACATGTTCATTTTCGTGTTTACAAAACTCAGGGGCTGCGTCTAGATCTTCTACTATCACCATGGGAAAATTCAGTTTTTTGCAGAAAATAAAAATCGAGAATCGCCTTCAAAAGAGAAGAATGCTGGAGTGAAAGGATGATTTGCCTTGAAAATGCTGCCAATTTTGGCGGAAAGAGAGGGCAATTTACCGCCTTTTCTCTCCTCTCTCTCTCTCTGCGCGTGGGCCGGATTTCACAGTTGCTTTATCAAATTAACGCCACTCTCTTTTTATTTGCGTGCAACCACTCTCTGCCCTGGCACACCTAGCAAGGTGTGCCAGGGCACACCTAATTATTTGCGGGCTACAGTGGCTAATAAATGGAAAAATTGTGTCTGTGCGCCGCGTAAGGTTTTAGGGGTAAAAGGCCTATTATTCAGCTTCACTGGCGCCAGGTGTATATAGCTGCATTAAAGGGTTTGACAACCCAAGATTTAGATCAGTGGTAGTGGATATATTGGGGCTTCTTTGATGCTTCCTGCTAATAATAATTGGATGAAAATGTCATTTTTCAACATCTGTGAGACAAAATAATAATAATAATAATAATAATAATAATAATAATAATAATAATAATAATAATAATACCTCATATTTTTAATATATGCCGTTTTGAGAAGTTACACGTTAATTAAGAATATTTTTTTTTGTCAATAATAACCTTATTTAATGAAGATAGATATGAATGTTTTGAGAGAGAGTGAAGAGTGAATATGAAAAGACGTAATGTATTTATTGGCTAAATGAGGGTAATAATAGAAAAATATGTACAAAATATCTAAAACGACATTTATTTGATAAATAATTGATAAAACTAGAATGACATTTAAAAAAAATAGGAGGGAGTAATAATAATAATAATAATAATAATTTGATGGTTCATGGTTGTTGCATAGAGAGTAAAATTTGCAGTTTTTTTGCTGGTTAGAGCATCTCTAATGGTTGCGCATCTATTTTGAGATGAATGGTGTGGAGAAAGTGAATAAAAATATTTTGTCTTCAATGGTTTACGTCAATTGTAGAATAATTTGACACATGTAAAATAATAATTGGTTGATGGAGAGGGAAATATAATTTAAATAATATAATATAGGGTATAAAATGTCTAGAAGTCTTTCTGAATCTAGATAGACTTCTATAATTTTGAAACGCCAAATGGAATTTTTTGAGGTTATGTGACAATGAATTAGAGCAATCCATGTACCATTGGAGATGCTCTTAGTTTCAAGTTAGACTTTGCACAATCTAATCTAATATTGCGATTGGTTAAAAAAAAAAAAAATTGTCTGTTTAATCAAAATTAAATTATTAAACTTGAAAATAAAACACAGTTTTTTTTAAAATATTATTTAATTTCAAATTTACTTTATTCAAATAACTCACTTTTAACTTACCAAGTTGGATGGTAACCGGTTTAAACATATCCATTTGCCCCTAAGTAGTGAAAAGACAAAATTTTGCAATCAATCCCAAGGGCTTTTTAGGTAATTAACCATCCATATAATACATCAGTTGATTAGCCAAATAAATAGATGGATGATATGAATATATATTTTAATCCTCATAAAAAAAAACTATAAAAAGAAGAGCAAGAGATTATGCAGAATAATGCAGCACACTTTGTGACCGTTAGATCACATATCCCCGATGATGATCTAACGGTTACAAACCCCGACGGAATGGTTCCGTAACGGGACCGTAGCATTTTCGTTTACTATATACAGTCAACGCCAACAAACTTAAAATATTATGCCCAGTAGTCTAAGCTGTGGTCTTAAAATCAATTTAACTTTTTCACTACAGCCTGGCGCCAAAGGAAATTAGAATCATATATGCCTGACCCAGACCCAGTAGCTCACGCGTTTAATTATTTTAAATTTAAATTTTAATCATCAAGACTTTTGGCCAGCTAACTCACATATGATTCATGAAGCTTCTCTGCATGGATCCATGGACACATAGCCTATATATATTAGAAACTCCCAAGCCAACATAATCACAAATTTTACAACCAAACACAATACCAAAACATACAAATGGCTTCAGCCTTCTTCACTAAATTAGCTATGATCTCGATTTTCATGGTCTTGGCTTGTTTAACCGTGCCATCCTCCGGAAACTTCTATAGAGACGTGGACATATCATGGGGGGATGGTCGTGCCAAGATACTCGAAGGCGGGCGCGGACTGTCTCTGTCGCTCGACCAAAACTCGGGTTCCGGATTTCAATCAAAGAATGAGTATTTGTTCGGAAGATTTGACATGCAGCTCAAACTCATTCCGGGGAACTCTGCTGGCACTGTTACCACATTCTTCGTAAGTTTGCACCGATTATTTTGGTCATTTAAGAAAATTACAATTTATCCACAGTATCTCATTTTTTGCCTTTGTTGTGCAGTTGTCGTCTCAAGGCGAAGGACATGACGAGATAGACTTTGAGTTTTTGGGCAACTCGAGCGGCGAGCCTTATACAGTGCACACGAACGTGTACTCGAAGGGCAAAGGAGACAAGGAACAACAGTTTCACCTTTGGTTCGACCCTACTGCCGCATTTCACACCTATTCCATCGTCTGGAGTGCTCAGCGCATAATGTAAGTAATTAATCAGTTTCTTATGCAGTTCTAGATGAACTTTCTAGTAATTTCTAGCTAACCAAAATTTATTTATATTGCAAAATATTCAGATTCTTGGTGGACAACAGTCCCATTAGAGTTTTCAACAACCACGAATCGAGTGGGGTACCGTTCCCCAATAGCAAGCCGATGAGAGTGTATTGCAGTCTTTGGAATGCAGATG